CCATAAAATCCCATCTTACTCCCCTTGGGGTTAATTAAGCCCAGGTCAAGAATCACTGCTGTATATAGTTGGCTTGCTTCAGCTCCTCTAGCAACTTGTTGAGGTCGGTCTCATCTCTTGCAGAGCTATCCTATTGTACTGCATCCAACAAGAATTTACCCGTATCGCTCAAAGTGGTATACATCTTCGACATATATTCTGAGTTCTCCATTATAACACAACGCGATCCTTTATCAAGGCGTGAAAGTATGACATCAGGATTAGATGTAAGTTCTTTAATTGCTTTTCGATGTTCATTAGTATTTTTGAAAATTGCGGTTTGAAGTACTGATAACTGAAGAAGATGCGCTAATGTTATCAGTACTTTGGGTCGTAAGTGTGAAAAATTCCTACTAATAAACATGACCGCAGGACCGCTGCGTACAGTGATATATCATCATCACCATCAGCAGTATCATCAACAACAGCAGTCCATCAGCTATTTGAACTGATGCTTCGCTGTCATACAACTACGGTGAAGTACAGCATGCAGAGAAAAATAACAGGGAGATAAGGGGGACTGGGTGTAAAATCTTACCGCTTTAAGCAACCATACAGGGTTAGGGCGCCTACACCTTATGTTAGCAACATGCCGTAACAAACAGCTAGCTATCGTGCACAGATAAGCCGGCATCGCCGAGACAGCTTCCATGCGGTTTCCAATGCCTTGCGTCAAAATCAGCTATTACTCCGCAGACAACTCAGCAACAAACACACTCTAACCAGGCACTCGCATTAGGAGACGGCAGCAGACGCTCCACTGGTGCCGACTGTGAGCCATGTCTTGTAAAGTCTCGAGCCAAGCACAAGGCGAATCACGTAGACTCAAGCTTGGGAGGTGAAAAGGATAAAGAACAACGAGTTTCATTTTCTGTAAATGTATTTCCCATTGATAAGTTAGCTTCTGTCCACCTAGGTGCTTGCGCTACCTTACATCGGGAAAACGAAAACGCACGTCCCGGTAAGTGGTGACTTGACATACGTAGTACGTGCTCAAGCCAACGCGACTTCTCTAGCGCTCTATGTTGTCCTACTGACCAAGCCTGATTATCACCACCCGGCATTCGCATACGCACATCATAGTTGCGGGCACGCTGGTGCCATCCGACACCAACAATACTTCGCAGAAAGCGAGGACCAAAGACTTGAAGGCACCGCAGGTCCTCAGATAGAAGGGGCGGAGTCTCACCCCAAAGGTAGGACGGCCCTCACTGTGGCACGTAAACCCTGCCTCTCGCGCCGAACAAAACCCCTTCTGACGCCATATATGTCACAGATACAAGAAGGCTGTCCTAGCATTTTCAATGCATGAACTGAATTCAGTAGCAATGCGTATATCGCTGCTGATGCAGCAACCAAGGAAATAAATCGATTTACCACCTCGAGTTCTTTGCTATCAAGGGGTCATCAAGTAGCTAGTGGTCCTGCAAAACACCTTGCAGTTCGAAGGCGCGAAGCGCATGCCGAATGATGGAACCATTCTAGTAAGGCTATTCAGGGTTCACTGTGTCACCCCAAGCTCGTTAAATAGCAAGACAATATTGTCCGCATAGTCAAGATCAACTGGTTTTTCACTAGGTAACACCTCAACGACTGCATCATAGGATTCCACAAGGGAACACTCCCAGATGTGGCCCATGACGGAGTTGAACAAAAATGGAGAAATCGGATAACCCTGACGAACGCCGCTTGTTGTCAGAAAGGCATGTGATAAGTCATCGGAGACCCTGACGCGGCCTGTGGTGTTCGATTACAGGGCACGTACAATGTCCACGTAATTCATGGGAACAGCTTTCTGTACAAATATTTCGAGCGGAACGCATCGACTGACTGAGTGGGACACACTTGAAGTCAAGGAACACAGCTATTGTCTGCTTTGTGGTACGTGTGACGCTTCTCTAGCCTCTGCCGCTGAGTGAATATATGGTCTATACCGCCTCATCCTGGGCGGAAACCTGCTTGCTCTTCCGTAATCCGGGATTCCCGTTCCGCAGTGAGGCGACGAGCGGAAATTGAGGTCACCAATTTTGTCACTACCGGTATTAGGCTAACACCCGTGTGGTTAGCACAGTCGGTGCGACGGCCCTTCTCGTATATTGCCACAGTGATCGATTCGCTCCAGTTACGCAGGATGATCTGTTCATTCTAGACATGTTCGAACAGGGAGACCATTGCTTCGCGGAGGACCTCATCACCATCCTTAAATTATGCAGGTGAGGAAATCCGGACCAGCAGCACGAAAACGATCAAGGGCTGTGATCGCGTTTCTGGCCTCAGCTTCTGATGGAGACATGAAGATAAGCGGCCATGGCTCAGCGTACACCGAATGAATAGGAAGTTTGAAACAAGTAATTCTCTTTAGAAATCTAAACAAATATCAGAAGACGTAAGCTGTGAGATGACCCGGTCATTTCGTGCCTATCTCCTCAGTCACGTACAAGGCAACTAACAATTTGAAAACAAGCAAGGTCGGATGCGGTCGATTGGTGGTCAGCTGATGGCCAACTATTACTGCGGCACTATCACGGCAGGCTCAATGTTACTGTCAACTGTTTCTGTACGCACAGAGGCGGCCGCTCGCGATCGATTACGATGGCTACAAGTAGCTTGAGTATATGGGGCCTTTGGTTACGCATGAGGACAGTGAATTACTCACTCGGGTTGACCTAGTGGCCAGTAGATGCCTCGTGATTGCCGAAGCTATCGTGCCTCTGGATTTCGTCAGTTCCACCGTCTGAGATCCCGTTCGCTTGCGCAACCCTTTAGGTATGGGCTCATCCATCCTGACGCCTAGACTTCGGTCAGTGCGTCCAATGTAGCTGTCCCCATAGCTACCGGTAAATTCGTATAAACTGTGGGAGATGCACTGCTTCGTCGTTTTTGTGTTCAATGAGCACATAAACAATGGTCTTGTCGATGTGAGCAACTGCAACTGCCACATTATACGCCCTTTTCAAAGAGGTACTTATCCGTTTCGTGGTGACTTTTATGATGTGATCAATTTTGAATGTCAGCTCAATGAAAACCGGATTCTTCTGGACAGTCATCTCTTTCTGCTTCAAGTGTATCCGGCGTACAAATTAGGTTGGCTCAATGGAACAATGTCCGGACCAGAGAACGTTTGTGGTGTATAGGTGAGAAGCTTTTAAAATGTAGATATTGGTCCGTCCCGGTTGCTTTCCGGTATACTGACTGCTTGATGGAACGATCCGGCCTTTGTATGAGCAAAACGTCGAGGTATGGGAGGCGGTGATCGTGCTCAGCCTCACAGGTTACAGTGAGGTTTGGGTGCATACGGTTGAGTGTAGATGTTGCCTGTACAATGTCATCATCTGAAGCCATGATTAGAAGTGTCAAAAACATATCGTTTGTACAACGTCGCCGATCTTATTATACCATCACACCTCCCTTCCATCATGCTCATGAATACAACTGCTAGCAAAGGACCCAACGGGCTACCCATAGCCATACCGTCTATTTGCCTATACGCTCTTACATGAAGTAAAAGTTGACATTCTTCGTACACAAAGGAAGAATATGCCTCAACATTTCCGTAGGAAGCCGTAGTATGATGTCGTTTTGCGAGAAAAATTCACATGAGTGATCCACAGTTTCCTCCAGCAGAACGTTGGTGAATAGCGACTGCACATTAAGCGAATACATTCGCTTTCAAGTCAAGTTTATTCTTTCTAAGTGATGAAGTAATTCGAAAGTGTTTGACAAAGTGTGTTCTGCCATGGCTTTTCTCACCGGCTCAAGCATGCTGTTCACTTATTTAGCGATGGCGTGGTAGCGTGAGTTGATCATAGATAGAATTGGCCGCACAGGTAATCCTGCATTATGCACGTTTGGTAGGCCATGCATTTGTGGGGTATGGGTACCCACGCATTTCAGCATTCTGCTTTTGAGATGAAGCCATGAAGTTGTAAGACTTGCAACTCACGAGAGATCAGCGTTTCAACCAGTCGAACGGGAATCGGAAGTGGTACGGGAACAAGGGACCAGTTGGATTGCTCATGAAAGTGCTCCGCTCAACGATCCATACGGTGCTCCTTTTGCGAAGCATGGCACCCGTTTTGTCTGATTGTCCTAATGACGCATAACTACCTGGGACCAGTGGTGCGGATCAGTTGGAAGAGCTTGAGATAATTGTCTACTGCTCCCGCCCCCTCCATTTCTTCAGCCATACTAGTCCACCAATCTTCCTTTCCAAAAGGTAGGCTCCGCCTTATTTCGCCACTAATGTTCCATTTGATTACATTGTGCTTATAGTCAGCCGGGAGCTTTCTCCTAGATTCTAACAACTTCACCGGCCAATAAGTAGTGAGGTGATGATAGAGCAGAGGCCCCCGTATCCCACATGACATGAAGCTCGTCGTCCTTAGACAAGAGAGCGGAAGTTCGATATGTATGGCATTCTAGTAGGCTTGCCTGGCCGAGAGATAGGATAACTTCTCAGTTACCAGTTGAGGGAGGCAGTTGGTACGCCTCGCGTTTCTTGGGAAAACGGAAGAGCACCGAGGCATGATCAGAGTCAACGCAGGTATTCCCGGAGGAGCGTCAACTCAGGATGGGATAGCAACAACAACAACATTGGTAGACTGTCGCCTAGATGACGTAAAGGTGATGATCGGAACTGGGTCTCCAAACAATCGGTTTCATCCTGCCAATTATATAAGCACATACAACAATAAATCAAACGAAGCAATAAACACTGGTAAATGCGCATGCGCTAGAATGGAAATACATATAATAATTCAACAGAATAACACCCCTGTGCTATCTATCAACAAACACTTCTAGAAAAGAATCATGTTTGTGCATTGCTCGAAAGCGCATAAATCAGTTGATGTAAAGTCAATAAATGCAATTTACTTCTTCATAGAATTACCTGATTGATCACAGAGACCAAAGGCAACATCGTCCGTTGACTAGCGTTCTGTTCCCGGTGCTCATTCGAATCAGTAACTATGTGACATTGGCTCGAACAATGTCCAAATCATGAGCATCGTCAGAGCATGAGTTCCCAGTAACATAACGCCATCCCCGTAGGAAGCTAGAAATTACGTGAAACAGGAGAAGGGTAACCGGAAGAGAATAATAATCAACATATACATTAATTAGGGGTGAGAACACATAAGCTAGTGTGCTGTAATAAAATTCAATGGAATGGCAGTGAAAATTTGAAAACATACGAAAAAGGATTATTATGCATTTTTAAAATTATGCAATCAGCACGTCTTAGGAAAGAGGCGAAGAGCGGTTGGAAAGGATGAAGATGCTCACAGTACAGACTTCATGTCGACAAGTGGATTAAAACACGATTTTCCGACCCCAACTCGGGAATCGGGAGGCGTCAGTCCTCTTAGCCGAGTCATCAGTTCGACTCCTTTCCTCTTCCTCCGCCCAGAGTCAGACGCGCAAAAAAACGAACATCGCGAGAGTCCATGGGCTCGCACACCAAACACATGGTCCTGTGAAGGACGACAGAAACGTTGGAGTTCAGACTGATTCATCCATGATTGCCGCAATCGGAACTTGGGCGCACTATGAAAATGAGACAGTAGAGGGGCTGCTGCAGTCGGTTGGGACAGTTTCCTGCTTCCATTCATTCCATTCATCATTGTTTACGTTAACCACCCACAAAAGCAAGACTCACTAAGTTTTAAAAGAGTTAGAGGAAGTTCATCTGGTCCCGTAATCCTATGCAGCTTCAGCAGTACGATTTTACGTTCGACCTCTGCGCGATAGGTAGATCCAAAGCGACCACTCGGGGAGAAGGTTAGTCACTGGCCGGTAACGAATCTATTAGTTCTGGTGGATAAAATTACTATTCAAACTGCTCAGTCTAAAGTTGCAAGTGCGTCGACAGGCTAAAAGATAGGTTTTCCCATCTAGTCGTAGATGACCTCAATAACAAAAGGTCTCCTGCTGCCCGTTTTCCTTATAGGTCGGAATACATTCCATGCTTACCGAAGGCAGTGGCTGATTCATTCTCGGACGCACGATAAGTCCACTAGATTTCGCGGTCTCTCTTCAGGCGAGCACATAGTTTTGTCCTGAAATCTTTGCGAGCCTCGTTGTGTTCGCTTCCTGATGTAATATGTTGGGGGGTATCCAGTAGTTCTAGAGACTGCGTAGAGAGGTTGTTAATCAGATACAACAGATGCAAATAACGACTCGTGAATATGTCACCAGCGACTTTCGACGGTGTTCAGTAAGTGCCCATATGAGTAGCGTGCAATTACACGCACTCAGAACATCTGGTTTTGCCAGTTGGTTTCAATGCAATCAGAACGTCATCGCATGCGACCGTTGCAACGCACCCAGAGATCAGCACACACAAGCGTACGGTCGGGATCCGCGTGTGCGCTCCAAACAGAGTGGAACTTTGGACGCAGCTTGTCCAGCAATAACTGATCCCACTGTGATGGATTTGCGCATATGGATTGTGTGCATCATGTCACCTCACTGAGGGTACTGTGCTAGCAAAAAATAGAGCATCATCTTTACGTAGGTGTAAGAACTGGTCACCGTTATCATTACTGGATCCTACACCGTATTACCCACCCAGATATAGCTCATCAGTGGACATTTTCCAACTTGAGCGTTCAAATCGCCAGCAAGCACTACATGCCTTTCCAGTGGCAAAACTCGTTCAGCTGATGAACGAAGCCATCCTTCACCGAGTCAGCGCTACTGTTTGTACGAGCGTATGCCACAATGATAGACAGTCAGCGCTGTCCCCGCTCGACTTCGTAGCTTTGAACGAACAAGCCAGTCGGATTGAGAACATACGACAGCTGAATAGGATCCAGACTACCAGCGTAGCTTACGCTCGGGAGCTCAGAGCAATGTCCGCACGCACTTGATCGGCTTTTGAAGCTCCGTGAACACCGGATAGACGAGGTGAGGAAGTAACAGCAGTGTCATATGTAGGGTGTTGTAGAGTGAGCGCAGAGCTAGTCTTGCAGGCGGGTTTCTCACTGGCACCAGATATCGATCGATAGTTTAATGCTTGGGCATGGGTCGCTTGCCGACCCATCTGTGAGAAATAAGGTGTATTGAAGCATGCCAATTTCGGTGAGGACCAAGAGCTCTAATCAGAAAGGGATAAAGTGAGGTTGTACGCACCTTTGAGCATTGACTTGTCGATGCAAAAGAAGTGACGCTGGGTGCTAGTGTGGGACTTGGTACTGGAAGGTAAACACCTTTCAAAGCAAGGAAGGGGAGCGAAGAATTGGGGTTTTTGAAAAGTAGGTGAGAAAAGTGAAGTTGGGACGGGACGATTGAGATGGGGAAGCACAGGAGGGGTGGAAAGTCGACAGGAAGACCTAAGTAGTAGCATGCTCACTTTACCCATCTCACACGATATATCAGATGGGGCACCGTTGATTATCCCCTGCGATAGTCAGTGCATTACGAAACCGTGTGACGAGTTTATCATTGTAATGCGTGGGCGGAGCGGTGTCAGATTTTCCAGCCGAGGACACATCTTCAGTGCCTCACTGATTGGCGTACAAACTCGTTGAGTGCGTCGTCGGCTCGTGATCGATGGGAAAGTGACGTTTGAAATTGGACTCTTCGCTTCATATCATGTGACCTTCGTGGTTCGTTGTTCAGCCGCCGCTGCTCCCTAGCTTATGATTTCTGATCCGTCCAATTTCTTTCTTTCTCAATGGTTGAGATACCGGGTCTAGGTATATGCACAGATTTGGAGAGTATTCTGTAGTAAACCACGCTTCAAAGAATTCTCTGCATTTTCTCGTTTGTTCCCGCGCGAGAATTTCGATTTTGTCCCAATCAAGCCTATGCTTCTCCTCATTAAGATGTGTCGAGACCAAAGATGATGCGTAGTGGTTACGGCAAGCTCGCTTGTACTCTTGTATTCTTGTAACCAATTTCCTCCCTTGTTTGGCCCACATAGTTCTTCTCGCAGTATTTGCATTGTATCCTGTAAACAACATTACTGCGCTCGCGAACCTTCAATTTATCTTTCGGCTTAGACAAGGTTCGCTTAAGTGTGGCTGTTGGTATATGGGCAACCGTCAGATGATACGTTTTGCGACATCTGGCCGTCATTTCTGATATGTTCTTCACATGAGGCAAAGCGATCTGTTTCTTTGTTGTTGGTTCAGGCGTGGTATTTCAAGCCCTGCAGTTCAAGTGTCTTCGGATGAAACTGCGCGGGTATCCATTGTGCATGAAGGACGTGAACAGATGTTTCTCTTTCTCTCGCTTTGTTTCCTCAGTATTGCAGTGTGGCTCAATTCTGCGAAATATGGTCCTTATGCAGGTTATCTTTTAACAATTTAGTTGATTGCTGTTGAAATTTAGGAGATGGTCAGTGTGAGTGCTCTTCCTGTAAACTGATGTTTGTATTTCTCCGCCTGTTGTTCTGGTAACAAGCGCGTCCAGGAAAGCTAGTTGGTTTTCCATTTCTGACTCTATGGTGAAACGAATGCCCTCCATTGCATTGTTCAGAAAGTATTGTGTGGTCTGTAGCTGACTACGTTTGAGTATCACAAAAGTGCCATCAACATATCGAACTCATAATTTCGGGCTGATAATTGGGAGCAGGTTCTCTTCTAACTTCTGCATGATGATCTCTGCGATGAGCCCAGATATAGGGGATCCCATTGGGGCGCCTTTCACTTGTTCATAGAACACTCCATTGAAGTTAAAGTAGGTTGTGAGGCACAAGTCGAGAAGCTTGCATACACTATCGGTTGTTAAATTCACAATTGTTGGTCCGCTGTCATCCAGGTGTTCTCTGATGCTTCCTTTCGCCACTTTTAAGTTGACAGAGGTGAACAGTGCGGTAACGTCGAATGACACCATTATTTCCTCATGATCGATTCGTAGTCCTTTGAGCTTCCCTAAAAATTGTTGTGCGTTGTTTCTCGTATACTGCGATCCATTAATCAGATGTTTAAGCCCCTCCACAATTCTTTAGCTAAGTTGTATGTGGGTGTACCAGGAAGGGACACGATTGGCCGTAGTGGTGCACCATCCTTGTGTACCTTCGGAAGACCGTAGAATTGTGCGATGTTTGAGTCACGAGCCTTCATACTGACGTATTCCTTCTTGGAGAGTCTATTCAGATTCCGAAGTCTTTTTACTGTCTTATTTATCTGTACTGTTGGGTCCTTCTCCATACGGCGGTATGTTGTTCTGTCGTCCAGGAGTTTCCTTGCTTTTTCGACGTAATCCCTTTTATCCATTATGATCGTCATATGCCCTTTGTCCGCAGGCAGGATCACGATAGTTTCATCAGTCTTCAGGGATTTTACTGCATTCTCTTGCTGTGATGAACAATTTTGTTGTTTGTTGTGCCTTAGGAATGGAACCACGGCCTGTCTTAATTGTGTTTTCGTTTGTCAAAACCGTTGGATTGTAAGGCACTTTCAAATCCAGCGAGAAATTCCATCGATTTAGCGTCTTTGTAGTTATAGTTTAGCCCTTTGATGAGAACCTGTCGTTCAGCATTGCTAAGCGGACGACTGGACAGATGTGTAACCCAACCATCATTGACAAAATCGCACTTGCTGCTGGTTAAGTTCGCCAATCTAGCATGCAAGGGCGCTTGCTTCTTTGGCTTCACATTTGCTGTTCTGCGACCGATCGCCGTACCTAGTTGTTCTGTCAGTTGTTGGCCTACGATTTATAGGCAGGCGGCTCTGTGTTCGTTAAGACATCTCTCATATTTCTGTATGCGTCAGCAATCATTAACCGAATCATTCGTTTTCCGAACTGCTTTGCAGCGGCCCATGCTTGTGGATGATTAATCAGTGGCTTGTAGTTGACACACCGTGGAAGTAAGTCACTTCGTATACAGCTATGCAGGAAATCAAGTTGCTGCGATGTGGAGGTCAGCCTGCAGGCGAAATCCTCCCAACAGCCAGGAGCGTTGAGCGCCCATAAGTGTTTGCGATAAATCGGAATATTTGTAGCACGGGTTGACTGTTCTGGTTTTCGTTTGTCCTCCGAGCTGAGCAACTGTGCTGCAGACGTTTCGTCACCAGCCGAGGTGACATTCTCAGTGCCTCACTGCTTAGCGTACAAGCTCGTTGAGTTCGTCGTCGGCTCTTGATCGATGGAAAAGTGATGTTTGAAATGTGACCTTCGGTGGTTCGTTGTTCGACCGCCGCTGCTACTTGCCTTACGTTATAATTTCTGATTCGTCCGATTTTTTCTTTCTCAATGGTTGACACACCGGGTCTAGGTCTATGCAAAGGTGCTCATCGATCCATTCGTGTGGCACACTTGTCCGAACTTCTGGACCATTCCGGATTGAATCGGGTGGCGATGTGCGGTGGTTATTGGAAAGTAAAGGTAGGACGAAGTTTTACGAATACTTTGTCCTGGATGCTACTTTAGAGCGTGCTGAATGTTGCTGACAATGTCCGCTGGGTTACGTCCTTGACCTCCGATATTTGGTGGTTCTATAGTTTGGATCCACGGAAGCAAAATGCCACGATGGCGTAACTTACAGCATCAGTGTCTTGCATGTCGTGTAGGTCTAGACAAGCGTCGACCGCTTTGCAACCTTGCAGGAGCTCGTACAATAAGCATCCGCGAACAGCATGTTGATCATTTTTCAATAGCACAATCATTTTTAAAGGGTAGGATAAGTGGACAATGTAAGGTTATGGTTCCAGTGTATCCCTTTATATGCCCATATCAAGGAACCTTCGAGAAACTTCCAGGTAATACTAGAATGGCAAAAAATTCAATTGATTTTGGGACAGCCCAATAGTATGATTAAATAGCCTCCGCAGAAACAAAATACTTAAACAAAGCTTAGAGCCCTTTAGCGTAATCTCAGCCCGCTGGAAGCGTCAATATTGATGATACCCGCCCCCTTGAGCATAATAAAATATGGATATAGTACAACTGCACGGAATATATATATATATATATATATATATATATTCTGGCAGTCGTCTATAGAATAGATACCGAGCTATCAAGAAGCATGGAATAAATGTGCGTAATAAGTAAAATGACCACGAAACGGAAAATATACAAAGAAATGTTCTTTTTCTATTTTTCACACGCCATTTTGTCAGTTTGGTGATTACGGTCTTGACCAGCAGAATCATAGACCTATGCAAACCTTCCATTGGCCTCAACTACGCGCCATGTCCACAAGAGTATTCAACGAGCCCAGAAGAGGTACGGGACGGACAACAGTTAAACTGGAAGTCAGTACCATGACGTTTTGTCGCCATGTGTCAGGTTGACGGCCGCGATTTCTCCCACGGCGTCTCTGCGTGAGTAAACAGACTGCGTCATGGTAAACGCTCGCACGGCATGGCCCAGTCACCTCAGTTGGGGTAGCGGTTTAAAATTATCGAGTGGGAGGCGTGTATTACCCAGGACGCGGCGTCTAACATCGTCGTTGCAAACATGATGTTACCACCACACACGAGCTATCTTCCGCAGACAATCGTTATCAAAGGCTGAAATCCGACGCAAATTGTCTACGCGGACCGGCCAGGACTCGCTTCAGTACAAGTGGACCGCGCGAACACAGGTATTGCAGACCCTGCCCTATAGCGAAAGTGAAACGTCACGACAACGCCACAGATGCCTCAGGACAGAAAAGACGTAGCTCCCAAGGCAGATGAAGCTATCTAATTGTCCAAGCTGCAGGCCTTCAAGTATCAAGACGGGAGCACGTGCATGTCAAGCTTGCAGTAGGACATTGCATTTCGATGGGGCGATGGTCATGTCATACTTGGTAGCTCCAATCGCAAAGCGGTTTGGAACGACTTGCATAATTTGTGGGTCGTCACCAAGTAAAACACTATCATCAGCATAGTCCAAGTCAGTTGCGTGGTTGCCTGGAAGAAGTTCTACGCCAGAACTCTGGAGACATCCCAGATCGCTTAATAAGACATTCCCAATCGCACAGTTGCAGAGGAACGGGGACATTGTGCATCCCTGTCGTACACCGCTAACGACGGCGGAAGGTAAAGAGCGCTGACAGTAAGCTCTCACTCTATCAGAGACATTGCTGTATAAAGCTCGAAGTAGGGCAGTATACTTTCCGAATACACCATTCCTTTGCAGACAAAGCCATAAAGCTGGCCGAGTCGAAAGCAGCTAGGATGTCTAAAAAGGGGGCAACGGTAACTGGCGAAAAAGGTGGCGCGGCTCGAAAAGTTGGCATAGCGCAAACATGTGGTCCACACACCCACAACCGGGGCGGAAAATACCTCGCTTCTCACGCGAGTGTAGTTCTTAAATCCGTGTTAGTATGCGCAGTAGAATGGATGTCAGCAATTTGGAAGGGACGTAGATTAAGCAGATTCCTCTGTGGTTGACGCATGAGGTCCAAGCGCCTTTTTTGAAGACAGGTAAGTGAATTGAATCGCTCCAAGATGAGAGAACAGTTTCTTCAGACAAAATCTTAGAGAACAGAGCTGTTAACTGGCTGACAGTTGCCTCACCATTGTACTTGAACAGTTCCGGAAGAAGTCCGTCTTAGCTAATAGCTTTGAATCGCTTCAAGTGACGAAGCTCAGGACAGACCTCCGCTTCGGTGGGTGGTTCCAACGAATCGTTCCAAGGCACGCAATTAGGCACAATTGTTAAACAATCAGAAAGAGGAGGCCAACTGAAATGAAAGTAGAAGTGCTCAACCAAGCGGTCCATGCGCCTATGTAAACTAGTGATTGGTGATCCATCAAACTAGCAAATAGCTTCACTGATGCCAGGTCTTCTGTGGCCAGTGGTCCGAATGATCTGGAAAAGTTTGCGAAAATTCCCAGAGAGAGCTCGTGTCTCCCATTCCGAAGCGCGCTGAGACTACCAAGTTTCGCGATTGTTTGGTAGGCTGTGCTTAAGTTGTCAGTTGAGGTTGCGGCGAACTTTATCGCAGGTTGAATCCCCTGGGATAGCACGCCGACGGTCGAACAATTCCAAAGAGCGTGCAGAGATCCAGCCACTCATAGCACGCCAAGCGATTCTACAATATGACGAACCGGAAGAAAGCAATGCCTTCTGTAAGAAATTCCAGTGATTTTCGACATCTAGGTGGAGCAATAGCGAGCGTATTTGATAAGAAGGATTGATACGCCAGTTGAATGGAGGGGTTAGCTAGTCTCTTGGTATCCAGCGTACGGTGCATAGATTTCGATGAACCACCAAAGCGTATGCAGATGTTCGCACAGACATCTACGTGATCTGAGTCGAGGTAGATGGATCAAGGCGATCTGCAACCCCGTACACTACCCCGCCATCTGAAGCTGATTGCATTGCGATCAATTTGCGACCAAGTATGTGTTGGCGAAGGGGGACGCCAAGTGGCGGCGCGTCTCCTCGAATGCCTGAAGGTTGTACTCGAGAAAAAGATACTTGTTTTCACATAACGCGAGAAGTATATCTTCGTTGTCAGAGTGACTCTCATCAAGAACGTGACAGCCACCAGAATGATGTTCACATGGAAGCAGGCCATCGACATGTGCGCTGAAGTCTCTGGCAAGCACTACGACATCGAATTTTTGGCTGAACTCAAAAGCTTGTGGAATCCGCGACAAAAGTCTCCCTTAATACATTAACCTTCCAAATCCTTTCACTGACTACCCGATTTTCCCCTTTTTGTTGTTGTTAACTACGTGTTCTGGCACTGCCAATTGTACATTGGTCAAGTGTTGAATAATAACAATATATAATTAACTGATGTACAACTGCAGCCGTTGGAATGTAGCCTGAAACCACAAACAGAGTGCGTCACTCTGCACGATGTCTATTGATACTGCATGAACCTTGGAGTTGAACCGCACACAATCGGCTGTCGGTCGGGAACCAATCGATCAGCGAGGCCTCAACCTTGACACTCAATGCGATGTTAACACAAGTCAAGCCATCTGCAGCAGCCTCTGTGTCATCAAACAAAAGCAGGGAATATTTGATCCCGAGATCAGCGAGGGACGTTAACTTAACTACCGTGCTGGAGTCCTGTAACCAAGTCTCAGAGAAATTAATAGCGATGGACTGCAAGATGCGCGTTAGGCCAGCATGTTGTCCGATCTGCAACAGGATTCTAACGTTGAAGGCTGCCAGTCGAGACGGAGAGCGCGGCCGAAGAAGGTCCATTGGTTGGAACCTTTGGACATGTGTGAGACTGTCATCACAGGTAGATTCAAAGGGAATATGGACGAACTTGGGATTGGCGCGTGATAGAGGTGCGTAAGTAGTGAGGATCACAGGAGCGGAAGTGAACGACAGTAGTAGTAGCCGCGGCATCGACGGAAAGATAGCAGACAATTTCAAATGAGAAATGTCAAGTGTGAAATTTTCGGTCTTATCAACAATGTGGGTGTTATCTAAAGCAACGAAAGGTGGGGATCATATCAGGGAAAGCGCAACAGGGCTATTTACTTCGGTTGCTGAGGTCCACAGAGGAAGTAGATAAAGTTCGAACAACCGCTTTTGTGTGAGAACGGATTTCTATGGCCTGCTTCACGGAGCGCTCGTGGAAAACGCCGAATCTACAATAGATTATAGTAGATAACTATGTAGCGGGAACATGTAAATAACCTATAAAATTGTATCAAATGGAACAAATGTAAGGGGAGCCGGGGATCATATGAATGAACGCAGTAGAATGCAGGAATATACGGGAGGGCATGCAAAGAACGTCTTGTGTCTACATACAAACAAATATGGTGATCAGCTTGCACTGCGCTAGGAATAATAACAGTAATGAGAGACAAGGCAGTGTCGTGAGGATCCACAGGTGGACGACAAAAAATGACATTTTAACATTTCGAAAAGCTCACAGTAATGCTGCGCCATTCTGCGAAGCAATACGGATAATAAGGTAAGCAAAACAACCTCAAGGCAATCAACAGAGTAATGCTTGAGTTAAAACTCTAACCTCGTTGGTTGCAATGAGGAATAGAATACAAGCCGCAGAGTCACCGTTCATTCGTGACTCAAAATGTCAAGAGAACCCCTCCGAAGTACGTGGTGCAGCCACGATGGAGGCAGAAACTAAGTCAAAAACTGCCACGACACCCAACCATGTTGACGAGAGAGGACAATGTTTAACTGAGTGGAATGAAAACCCAAAAAGTGGCCATCTAGAGAGAGAATTATTCGCTTGTCTCAGGCAGTGGTAGTATGCTGGGTGAGTTTAGAGAAAGGAGGGCATAATCAAATAGGCTAGCCGAAGGGAAGGCGAAATTTGTGGAAGGTTATAGGGTGAGTGTTGTCGCGTACAAGTAACGAGTGACTGGTTAAGTAGTTTGATGTGGAATACAGAAAGACCAGAGGGGAAGAAACTCGAACACTTACGTCTTCATGAGTTGAGATTTCGCGGCATATAAGCGAAGTGTGATAACCGGATAATCCACATACGGTCCATAAGGTAAAAAAAGATAGAAAGATTTCCACAGGGGTATAGCAGAGAAGACAAGCGAAGAGCTAAGGAATGCATGGGAATCAATAAGTGATGTATGGGTATGTAAAACGTCGAGATGAAAGTATTGATATAGACAACTAACCGCGAGCAATGGTCACGGAGGACTTGCAGCGCCACACTGTAATCAAGATGCTAAGAAAAATACCCACTATAGTTGAAATTCGTATGTGCCACGTCCATTGTCTAGTGTTTCATCTTAACTTGCAACCATTGGCCTTATGGAAATGATAAACTATCCGCAGTGGACTTTGAAATAAAAAACGCTACCAAAATTCACATGGTAGCAGGATTCTAAGAGTTACCAGTTTGATAGAAAAAAGACTAAGGTGAAGTCAGGGGACAGCAGATGACATACCATTCAATCAAAAACAGTAGCGCCGGATCAGACGACGGAAGATGAAATCCCTCTTGAAGCAGCGAGGCAGACAGTCAACGATGATAGGTCCCTGACGTCTAATGTGCATCAGGTGGATGCCTAACCATCTCAGTGAAGGCTGATATGACACCGCGGCTGCTGCTTCACAGCTCGCATGTATATAAGCCTAATGGTGCCGTTCGTCTAGTGCGCTTTAAAAGAGTAGATTAGCCGGTGATACAAAATGCTTCAATTCATCCAAGAGGTATGACTCTTTAGTAGAGAAGTTAAGTGTACGATAATAACACGAACCAGTGGTTAGCCTCGATATGAAGCATGATCAGCTAGGTCATTCAGTGATGAGGCCTGTATGATGAGAAGAAAAATGGGGATAAGTTCTATGCGATAAGCGAGAAAGAACAATAACCTCTGGCCAATGGAGCCCAGGGGAATTTGGGTTATTTGGTTTTCAATGAAAATGCAAGAGGGTAAAGGTCATTAAAACGGAAATAACGATGAAAACACAGCAGCCACTGCTTGAGTAAACAATCCATTATCTAGCTACAAAATTATTATGTTACAAGGAAAGAGTGATAACGAGACTGAAATAAATGGTCTATGAAACAACTACGGCAAAAGTTTCTGAGATCCGGTTACGCAGAGTTCTGTTGCCAACCGGCGATTAGTATCAAATGGGTGCTCTGCCAGAAGGAACAGCTTGAAAGGGATTAAGCGGTAGCAAGGATATGAACGAAATGACGTAGATTAAAGTTTAGAAAAAGTATATCCACTGTGCCGACAGCAATGGAAAACGAAGTGCAGGTCAAAGAGTACGCATTTTTGCGTGCTGAATTACTAGCACAGAGACACGAACACTTAAATACAGCGCGACTAGCTGTATATTCCCGTGAACAAATGCCTTATTCTAAAAGACAAGTCACAAGTACCTTCAGGGAAACTAATATCGGATAAGTTAATGAACAAAGATCGAGAAAACTTCATCTCAGAGTATTGGCATATTATGAAAATGGGCCAATAATTACTGTCATAATTTAGCCATGACAGACGAAGGATTACAGAACGTGACTCCTTTAATTAGAGCATTTGCGTCATGCGGTGTCTGATGATGTAGGGTCACAGCTTTGCCACACACCTGCCTCACGCCAGCCAGGTAAGACCACTCCATGAGCCATCTGCGGTTCACTAACATCACCTACGTATCACTTACTATCGCCAAAACGCGTATACGAAGTTGAGTACCGCCTACATTTGTGAGTTCCAAGTAGGATTCTTAGGTCGCAATCTCGAGGTAAGTCTGCCACAAATTACCTGCTAGGTAGAATGATAAGGGCAAGGGTAGTAAGTGCAGTCCACTGACAGATCTCTATTTACCTAGCCATCTAATAGCTAGAAGCAATAATCCATAAGTAGGCACTCTCCTACAATACCCCACTATCGGAATGGCCACCCGACGCACCGTTACTATAGATCTGCTCTCTTACATCCGTGCGTCCTCGTCGTTGCAAAACCGTTTAAATTAATCCTGTTTGAGACTACTCCAACCCTTCTTAGCTTTGCTAAATGCGAAGTCACTTGTCCTCCCCAACCGACAGCCTCATTTCACGTAGCGTACGAGTGTCCGTAGACTGTTGCAACAATCGATGATAACCATCGTTATCCATTCTCATGCGGTCAACACGTTCCGTATCACCAAGTCGCGCATACAAAGTATCCGTTTCAGTGCAGCTTTCACCGCATCAGGTAAATTTCCAGCTGATTAACTGCAGCCCATTTTTCTTTCTACTTCTGTTATAGTGGACTTTACGCCGGCGCCAAAACATTTGCTTTACACGGAGGATTCAGATATTTGGTGAACTTAGTTAGCGAAATACAGCTTCCAAGTGGGATTCTCAGCGTGGAAATGTGAAGCACATCACTAGGATCGTCTAACATGTCACAGACACATTCCAAGTGGGCGGCTGCATCATTTGTCTGCATTTCTACTGACTCCCTTAACAAATCGCAAAGTTGATGCGCTTCCTGAGAAGGTTTTGGCGGACAGCGAGGAGAGAGTGCAACGCTGCGGCGGAACTGGCGATATTGTGTGTCAGTGACATATCCAGAGCGTCTTTGACCACTAGACTAAGCTTCACGCACGAGTTCACTTCAGTTCAGTTAAACAAGTATGATCCGGGCACCGAAGTGCAGTGTATCCGGTTTTCGCCACCCGCGTCCCCGAAACAACAATGAATAAGAACTGCAAAAAAGTAGGGGAATGCAAATAGAATGTGAAGAAAATTGTAGGAAGTAGAAGATGCGTTAAACTAATCTGGATAGAGTGAAAGTTTAAAGCTAGATGCAAGAAACCGAGTGCAGGGACACCACTGACTGCGCCATATCATATAGGGTCTTCAACCACTGGTGTAAGTCATCCCGGGGCCCCCATCCACGAAGACGGCATGCACTAACCTGAGCAACTCTCTCAGTTAATTTCTTTTATGCCATGTCATGGACTGACCACCTCGCGGTTTCTCCCAACTTGGCGCAGCCACGGCTCATAATACACGCCCTGGAAGTTGGTCAATGGGCATACAGAGGATATGAACAAGCTACCGTAAGCGGTTGAGCTTCAGCAAACACTACTGTGAGTCTCCAGAAGGCTCCTTACCAAAAACCAACTGGCGGACCTCAGTACTGCTTACTCGGTATTCGCACCAGAATTAAGCAATATTCTGTAAGGACCGGTTATCAAACATGTACAAGTGTTTAATTTCTTCGCAGCAAACTGGCCGTCTCTGATCTATAAAGTAACACCGGCCTTATCGCAGCGTTGTACAGCCTACCCTTCGAATACAGAACGATATCCCTTCATCTCCATAGGTGAATAAGCATCAGAATTGCTCCAAGACAATTGCTGATACGCGAAGCAACTTTCTCAGTGATGTGAGCACCAGAGATGACAAAGCTTTCAAGGTATTTCTGCGATGATTCGTCGCATCTAGGGAGTCAGAAAGCCAAAGACATCCAGAAGGCGCTAGACAGACATTTCTTCCTATTTGGACTCATTAGAAACGCACACGTGTCGGATGTGAACCCATCACCAAACTCTTCCGAGCCACGACAGAGGCCATGTACACATCTCATGTGTGCGGAATACCTTCAACTTGTGCGCCTAAAAACCGACACGCGGGTCTCAGTTACGTGAGGCAGAAATCGCACATTATCATACCTGCTGCAGATCCACACCCAGTCTACGTTAAGCTCTTACACTCATGAATTACCCGATATACTGGGGATGCGTGAAGTAAGGGTGACTCGTGGGGCCGACACCTTTTCCAATTATCTTAATTGTTGTTAACCTTGATAGCCCGAACTTGCTTGGTACAAACTGGCTGTAGCATATGCCAGAAGTACTGCCAACAGCTAAAAAAGTGGACTACATTCCAGACATACCAACATTGTTGAGAATGTACGCATGTGTTTGATGAAACGACGCCGCATAAGCTACGTGGTCTCAGTTTCTTTCAATATCAGACCGAACGCTCAGCTGAAATATTTCAAAGCAAGGAGCTTATCATTTGCTATTCGTCCGAATGATGAATTAGAGCCGGAGCGCCTCTAAAAAGATTGAATATTATCCACTGAACACAACTCGTTTCAGCCCACACCAATGGTTCCAGTACAAAAACCAGATGGCCCAATCTGTATACGTGGTGACTATAAGCAGACTATTAACTAAGCGGTGACATCAGAACACCACCACAGTTCGCTGATAGATGATCTAGACGAAAAGTTGTCAGGTGCTCAGAAGTTTTAAAAAACTTCAGTTAAGCCACGGTTACTCTCTAGAGCTACATGAATCCGCGAAAGGGAAATGGTTGGCGGCATCCGGTTTCGGATTTGCCTGTCACTGTGGCAAGCCACAGGACGCCTGCGCCTACAGAGGGACCATGGATGGCTTGCGCTGCAGCACCAACAGCTCTATCCACACACCCCCTAATCCGGTGTAAACCCGAAGGAATAAGATCGGGAGGCATGCGGACGAGAGCCATGTTTCATCAACAGAGCCGGCCCAAACTCCTTCACAGGTAGACACAAGCACGCTGCATATGGGAATTGAGCGCAAACAAGGCGGTGGTTGGACCGTAGTCCGCTTCACACGGAGTGCATGGAAACACTCTTCGAGCCTAGCACGGCCACAAGGACCGTGCACCCCGTCCTCTCCAGCAACTAGCAAGTGTATGGACGAGGAAGTGGGTAATAGACAGGTAGAAACCTTGTCAACATACACATCAAGCACAGCCACACAGGGGATATCAAGCCAAAGCCAATCACAGGAAACAACGATACCAAACAGAATATATCGAATAATGCATATAGATACGATGACGTAACTCTTCATAAAATGAGCGTATGAAATAAATTGGTTACGAACAAATCCGCGATAAGTTCACGAGGTCAGAAAGTATAATTTACGGAAAGGCCACAAACACGAAAATGTTATCGAAATTAACTAAAGTAGTTTAAGGGATGTGTGCAACATTAATATGGAATAAGAAAACATTAGGGCAATATAGCAAACTAAGCAGCTGAAATAAAGAGACTCAGCATGAAAGTAAGCGGTCAGTAAATCGAATGCAGTGTACC